GCGAGCTGAGCGTCAGCAGGACGGTGGTGCAGCTGGCCTCTGTCCAGAACAGCCCCGGGGGCGTCTACGTTGGCGGGCTGCTTTCGGCCGCGGGGGAGGGGTACGGGATATGGGATACGTGGACCTCGAGGACTAGGTTCGAGGATCGGGGTGTTCGTTTGTATGTTTGTTTGTGTGTTTGTTTGTGTGTTTGTGTGTTTGTTTGCTTGCTTGCTTGCTTGCTTGCTTGCTTGTTTGTTTGTTTGTTTGTTTGTTTGTTTGTTTGTTTGTTTGTGTGTATATGTGTGTATGTGCGCTTGCTTTGCTCACCTGCAAGGGCAATCTGGGTGTGGGCTTCTGGGTCTGATGTCGCCCCTCGGCGCCGAGGCACGCCTTCCCTCCCATCACCCCCCCCCGCCCCCCCCCGGCGCGCGCGCTCTTGCCCCTCTGCGCCTACCTGGCTTGCAGCTCTGCGCAGAGTGGGTTGCTCGGTCAGGCCTTGCCCAAATTCGGGTCCAAATTTTCCCACCTGCGCGCTGCGCGCCTGGCTTCCCGCTGTCCGCCCTCAACGTGCCTTTCGCCTAGCACAGCCGTTTGTTTTAGCGCTCTGCACGACGACTCGCCCAGCGCAGTCCCCCGTGTGCATCGCCAGGTGGAATTGGCGCTAAGCGAACCCCGCCTCAGCCGTCGCTGCAGTGAGGCCACTCGGCCGCTAGAGGAGCACACACACACATTTGTATGTATGTATGTGTATACATATATACATATATATATATATATATATATACAAGACTGCAGTGGCGCTTCGCGCCATGCACCTTGGTCCTTGAAGTTTGATATGCACGCGGAATAGCAGGAAGTTCACGCCGACAATTCAGCGATAACTCCTGGATGCCTTTTCTGGCATCGCCGCTATGCTAATGTTGTTCGTTACCCTTCCTCCATGCTTCTTTCTCTTGGTTTTCGCCATGCCCTGCGCATTATCCCCATCCTCCTCAGCTCTTTTTTGCGGAGGCTCTTCCTTGGAGATCCTCTAGGGGCCTCACAAAAGTTCTTTCAGGCTTTCTTAATTAAGGCCTTCTGGAGGCCTCCTGGGCGTATTCCGAGGGCCTCCGGGGGCTTCCTCGGGCCACCCTGCCTCCAACCGCGGTCTCCCTGAACGACCGAATCACGATTTGAAATTCTTCGGAGGGTGTCTTTGGGCCATCTTGGGCCGCCATGGGGCTCTCTGAGGGCCATCTTGGACCTGTGTTGTGCCGTTTTGGGGCTCTCCTGGACTGCCTGGAAGCCCTTTCGGATGGTTGTGGGGCGATTTTGGAGCCTCCCAGGCGGCTTCGGACGCCCAGAAGACCGCCGTCTTGGAGCGTCGGGAAGCCGAAAAGAGAAAACCCTAGAATTCATATTAAAAAACCAAAGGAAAATCAATGAGTTTTGCCTCGGGGGGCCTTCTTGGGAGTGCTCTTGGAGGCCATCTTGAGGTCACGTCGGTCACTCTTGGAGCGCTCTTGTGCTGTCTTGGGGGTCTCTGGGACGTCTCCGATGAACCCCTCTGATCGCCCTAGGTGTGCTGGGAAGGCTTGGCAAAACGCAATGTGAGGCCCGGTGGCCGTTTGGAGGCCCGTCAGGATGTCCCCAAAGCCCCAGATCCTGGGAGTCCGTTTTTTTTTTTTTTTTGGGGGGGGGGTTCCCACCGCCCGGGCTTGTAAACATATGGGAAGAAGAGGAATCTGTTCACGTGTATATTCAGATACTTATATAGATACATATATATATATATATATGTACACATACATACGCATACATAATCATGTATATGCAAGTGAATATAGACGTATGCTTATATATATAGGTGCATGTATATATATATATATACATATATATATATATGTATATATATGCATGCGTGCATATGCATATCTATATATATATATGTGCGTGTGTTGTGTGCTGTGTGTTGTGTGCTGTTTGTTGTGTGTGTTGTGTTGTGTGTGTTGTGTGTTACGTGTGTGTGAATGTGTGTGAATGTGAGTGTGTGTGTGTGTATGTGTGTGTGGGGGTTATTTGTGTGCCTCTGTAACATTTACTTCACGGGTCTCGGTTCAAACTGGCTCAAGCCTTTGCTTTTACCCTGGCTCATGTTGGCGCAGGCCGCATGCTGCCAGGAGGCCATGCCCCTTTCACCACTCTCGCTTCCACTCCGTTCTCTTTCCCACGCCCTCGCTCTCATGGCCTTCGCCGTTGCTCATCTGGTTGGCGGAGTTCTATGTCGTCCGGACAGTCGAAGAGCTCACGCTGGGGGCGCTGCGCCGCCAGCGCCGGCGCCGCGGCGCTGCGCAGCCGGCGCCGCGGCCGCCGCGGGCGCTTCGCTGTGGGCGCCGCGGCCGCAGGCGCGCCGCCAGAGGACGTTGCCAGGCAGACGGTCGTCGTCGGCACCATGGGTTTCGCGCAGATCGGGTGCCAGGTGCCCAGCACTGCCACGAAGGACCCAGGGACGTAGGCGCTGCCGAAGGCACAGGGCTCCTGCAGCGGCGAAGAAGTTGGACGTGGACGGCCCAGACGTCCCAGGCAAGGCGCAGCTGAAGACAACCCAGTTCGTCTGAAATCGACGACGATGTAGGGATTTCCTGCGCACCAGTGCACGCACGTCAGCACAACTTTGCAGCCAGGCAATGAATGTATGTGAGATGTTGGAGAGGGAGAAGACGTTGCTGTGTCCTGAGCTTCTGGGAAGAACTGGAGGGAAAAGGGGTGAGCTAGCTTGGGCCAAACGGCTATGGCTGAGAGGGCGCAAGGCAAACGGAGGGCTTAAGAGGCTCCCGAAACTATGTTCGATTCAGCCTCTTGTAAGGACACGTCTCGCACACTACGGCAGCATTACGTCCACGTCAACGCTGGGGCCGCTGCCCAGCAGCATTCCTATGACGGTGAGTTGCCATGGTCTCCCCCTCGCGCACGATGCACATCGACCTACCCTTCACCAGCTACAGCATGATGCTCATATTTGCCCTGCGCTTCGTATTTGTTGGGTGAACCACGCATCAGTTCTCGCACCCCATCGCGTTCGTGGCTTGCCGCGCGATCTGAATCTGGGTAGAGCACTTGCAGTATGGTCCTCAGGTAGTCTCTCGCTGGAGGTATCCTTCGCTTCGTTGTTGCGCCCAGATAGTGACAGCATTCGTCGTTGCTCGCGCCGCCGCTCCCGTTCGTGGAGCCAGAACCCGCCAGAACGCAAACTCATGACACAGCGTTACCATCCACCCCAAATCAGCCACCCCCGCGTTGAGCGACAGCGACTCCGAGGGCAACGTGGAGCCCACCACTCGGTTCATGCGCGGGCTTGTCCAGGCCAGCAGGCTGGTCGGCTGCCTTTCTCCATCAGCAACTCCGCGAGCAGTGCCTAGCTCCGCGACAGCCCCATAGGATCCTCCCCGGCTGCTGTCGTGGAGGCTCGCGTCCGACACGGGCGCCCGCGTCGGCTCTTCGAGCGGGACCGACCGCGCCGCGATGCCCTGCTCCGCAGTGTCCTTCATGTGCTTGGCCAGCTGGTTGATCTCTTTGACGTCGTCGTAGGTCAATGTGCCTAGCGCCTGCTGTAGTTGACTGCGCCTGCGCCGCCCACCTCCATCTGCTCGATGCTCCCGCGCGAGCCTGTTCAGAGGCCCCATCGACTCCCTCGCTTGACTCCGCTCGCCTGGAGCGCGCGCATCAGCTCCAGGTTTCTTTCCCCTTCGCCACCTGCGCGGGCGAGGGCCGCCCCTCGATGAGCTTCCTCGCGCGCGCGGAAATTGAACTCGGCTTCCCTGGTATAGCGCCGCCCATTGAACATGGCTCCTTCCTTCTCCTCCACCAGCGCCTTGACCTCGCCGGATCTCCTCCGGCTGCGTAGCGGGCCCATCTGTTGTCGGTGGCGCGGGCTGCCGATGTCGACGATGTCGCCCGCCTCCGCCGCCGCGGCGCCTTCCGCGCCCGGCAGAGCCTGCGCGCCTGGTCCAGCGACTCCCCGCTGACCCCCAAGGTCTGCCAGGCGAACCTGGGGCTGCTCCGGCGCCCCCACTTGGGGAAAGCATGAATACCGTCGGGGCGAGCGTGCTCTGCCGGCGCCCCAGCTACACGAGGTCCCGCTTCAGGCCGCTGCGCGAGTGCAGAGGCGCGTCTTCGATCCCGTGCGCTTAGGACACCAGCTCCACGAGCAGTCCGGGCCCCATTTTGGGCAGCCCCCCGAGAGGCTGATCTGCGTGAATGTCCCCGCTCTCCCTCGTGAGTGGGTCAGACTGTATGGAGGCCTTCCAGAGGTCGCCGATCGTGGCATTCCATTGGTTGGGCGCAGCCAGCTGCAGCACCATCATCGGGGGGCCTGTCGTCACCGCAGGAGCAAGCCGCGCCGCGGACAGACCATCGGGATCCCGATCTCCGCGCGCGCACCAGCGGCCCATGTGGCTGGCCGGCTCGCCCGGCAGCCCGAATGGTTTTCTCTGGCCACCCGTGATGGGAAAATGCGGCCCTCCTGCCCTGCCGCCTCCTTTGGAACGCGCCTCTCGCGCGCCCCGTCACTGCCGTGCTTCGTCGCGCAGTGGACTTCGCCCGTCTCGCTGTGCGAGGGCGCTGCTGGGAAAAAGAAGACGTCTTCGTCGAGCTTCCCCCCCCAAAGGTCGGTCGGCAACGCTTGGTCGCCGTGGCCGCGGGCGCGGCAGCCGAGGCCCTGGCGCCGGCTCTGCTCCGCCGCCCGCTCCGCCGCCGCCTCGACCCCCCTCCGGATTTGATTCGACGTCGGACTGCGCTGCTCGATCTTGCGTGCAGAGCTCTGGCTGGCCGCTTCAACCACCTCCTTCGCGATCTCCTCCTGCGGTGAGGGGCCTTCGGGAGCCCTCGCATCGCGCTCGAGCGGTCTCAGCGGCGCCTCCGTGACGTCCTGGGCAAGTGCCCTGCGCATCTCGCCATCCTGCCGCGTCTTCTCTGCTGCGCCTCCGCCCCGGCATCGGCTGGGGCTTCTTCCTCGCGCCGAAGGGGGGGCGAGATCCCCCTTCTCGTCGTCTCTTCGCGGGGCGCTGGCGGCGCCGCTGGCGCCGCCGACCTGGGTCGCGCCAGCAGCGGGCTCCCCGGGCGGCGG